TTTTTTAATGAATTTCTCTCACAATAATGTAATTTTTAAAAAATTAAATTAATAAAAAATATTTTTTAAAAATATTTTCTTAATTATACCTTGTAAGTTACTTAAGAAAATGGATTTATCTATCTAGTTTTAGTTATTTTTTGTAACTGTTTATGGGTAGGAGTATCTCTTGTACTCCCTTTTAATATATTTCATTTTACCTAAAAAAAATATTATTTTTTTAAAATAAACTTTTTAGTAACATCTATGTTTTTATCTATAGTAAAAAAAATATTTAAAATATACCAAACATATGTTTGTAATTTTTATTTTTGATGAATTTTTGCAATGTATTTTTTGTTGTATCCTTGTCTTAACAAATGGTTAGATTAAGGATCCTTCAATATGACGGCATGGAAAAGAAGATTGCGAAAGGGGGGAATGGATAGGCAAATGTGGGGTGTGGCCTTACTTATGATTTGACATTCAACTGAAGAGAGTACACATTCAAGCCCATTAATGTCATTACGGCTAAGGATCTTTCGACAGCTAAGTACTAACCACAAAAACATAAATATGATATCCCTGTCCTATTATTTTATAATAATTTTACAATATTATTTTCTCTTTTAAATTATTTCAATATTTTTAAATATTTATAAAATAATTTGATTTTAATTTATTTTTAGTATAAATATATATTTGAAAATTATTTATTTTTAGTATAAGTATATCTTATAAAATTATTTTGAATTTAAATATATGTTTTAAAAATATTTATTTTAGTTATATTTTATTTCTCGGTTTTTGTTTAAAAACTTATATTTTAAAATTATTCACAGATATATGTAAAATATAAAATTTGTAAACCTCATACTCATATCATACAAGATAGATGAACAGGTAACTATTACAGTTAGTTGTACGATTTCAATTTCCAAGTTCCAATTATGAAAATTTAGTCCAACTTTCCTCTCCTTATAATCAAGTGCATTTTTTTATTTTTTTTTAGAATTTAAGAACTTTAATTATATGACACTAGTGTTAGAATAGTGGATTAAAGCCTAACTCAACCCTACAAAACCGGCTTGTAAGGTGAGGGTTGCTTTCCACTTATATACTATTCAATTGCCTAATCTCTAGTCGATGTGGGACTTGGGTTTTTTCCAATACACCCCCTCACGTCCAGCACTATTGGGCTTGGTACGTGGATAAATGGTAGGTGGCCCTTTTTAATGATCTAGGATTGGCGGGACTTGGGTTTTTCCCAATACACCCCCTCATGCCTGTGAGGCATGCATCAATGGTGGGTGGCCCATTTTTAAAGTGGATCTAAATGGCTTTGATACCAACTTAGAATAGTGGATTAAGCCTAACTCAACCCTACAAAACCGGCTTGTAAGGTAAGGGTTGCTTTCCACTTATATACTATTCAATTGCCTAATCTCTAGTCGATGTGGGACTTGGGTTTTTCCCAATAACTAATGTAAAAACATGCAAAAATATGGTATGTGTTGAAGATAAAAAATGAATCCAAACTGTTGAAGTTTACCAACAATACTAAAATTATTGTCCGAAATTGTTAATGGCGTTATTTGGTATACAAACAAAAATTATATGATATATACATTAAACGGGGAATCATAAATGCAATTATATTTACTAGTGTTTAATTCAACAATATTGATATATATTATATTAATTAACATTATTATAACTAATATTAATAAATGTAAATTAATATTATATATTTTTTGGCATGAATGAGATTTAAAACTCATTCTCATAATTTAACACTTTCTTTCTTTTTTTAACAATGATATTGATATAAAATATTTATTATTGTTGAAAATTATGAGTACATATGAAATGAATATTCTATTTTCAATATAGTCTATTTTATTTTTAATATCAAAGGAATCATAAACGCACACAAATTAATTATTTCCCTCTTAACATAATCTATTTGATATTCAAGATCATAATTCAAACCCTGAATATCTTAATTAAAAAATACAATCTACTACTAATTATGTCAACCAATACTGATTTCTAATGTTACATTATCACTATATTAGCACTTTATAATAATTAATGTCACATTAACTTATATGTCATCCAACATATTATTTTTCACATCAATCACATTAACAAATTCATATATTTGGAAAAGGTAAAAATGAAATAAAAGAAAATAAAGAGAAAGAAAAATGCATAATACAATATTTTTTTTATTTAGTTGAAGAAAAAATAAAATAAAAATAGAGAAAAAGTTGAATTTAAGAAACAAAAATTCAAAATTTATTTTTCTTCTATCTTTCTTTCAATTTAATTTATTTTTCTTTTCTCTCATTTTCCATCCACCCAATCAAAAATAGGGAATTAGAGGAAAATTTAGGGATGATACAATTGATGCAATTGATTTTTAGAGAATCAAAATTATATAATTACGTTAAAAATACAAGTAGATCAAATATAAATAAGGAGTTAGAATAATATTAATATATAATCACGTTGGTTGAGTGCTAAAATTGTAATATTATCTATAACTTTACATTAATTAACTATGTCAAATGATAATTAATATTTAATAATTTTTAGAGTAAATTACACTTCTAATTATCATTTACATATCTTATTTATTTTATTATTTTATAAGATAAAATTGAGAACTTAAAATACAATTTAGTCTAAATATTAATTTTCATATTATATACTTAATTATAGGTTATAACTAAAATTAATTTTAACTTAATAAGTATAATTTAATAATAAAATTAAAATTACAAATCTTTTAAAATTGAGACATTAAAATTATAAAATTAATTATTATAAAAAAAATAAAAATATAATTTAACCTATACTAACTGTTGCACTTAAAAAGTACATGATAAAATGTATGAATAAAAAAAATGATAAAAGGTTATTAAGGTTGGCGACGAGAATTCTATTATTGTGATTTGTGGGTGTAGGCTTGGACAATGAGAGACAAAGACCTTACCAAGTATAAAGCAATCCCTGGCCGTTGGATGCAGTACGGTACCAAGCTGATAGGTGTACGGTTATGATTAGTGTTTTAGTTACTTTAACTTTAACGACTACGGTAGTATCTTTAGCTCTTGAGATTTCATAATAGCTAGAACACCCACCATGATAAATAAATCAATAATTAAATCTTTACATATATTTTTTATTATTTATTTCCATGTATAATTCTGATTTCAGAATTCTCTTCTTCGGGTTTGGAAATGTTTTTTTTTTTAATATAAAAAACTTTAAGACAAGTGTAGTAATAAAATCTATATTTTTACATTACATAAAAATATTCTGATTAAATAACAAACAGAAAATCAAGCTTTTATCATAATACTAAAATAGGTCAATTATTTCCATTTTTCTCTCTATATGCATTAACTAGAGAATAGAGAATAGAGAATATTAATAATACCTACTAATTTTTTTCTTAAAATAAATTAATTTAAATACCATTTTTTTTCTTTGTACTGCCCCCGAGTCTCATGTTTCAGCACACATAAATTTGATAGAAACATAACCCTTTTCACTTTTCCTGGCAACACCCCAAGGCTTCTCTGCATTCTTTCTTAATTCACCAAACCAAGCAAAAGTTATAGGACTTTGACAAATAATTATTCTTTCTCTTCCATTACATCATAAACACAAAAGCAAGAGGAATCGAAGCTGGGATCGTAAATTCTCTGTGAAACTGAAGCCTTGATCCATTCTTGTAAGTGCTTTTTGCCCTCTTGTTCATTGGTGCTTGATCTGTTTATTTTGCCCTTCCTTTTTTAGCATCACTAATAATTACTCTTCCATTTTCAAAATCATCAAGCATAGTCTCCTTTCAGCAATGCCGTTGACTTACGTTCAAATAACCTTCTATTTGCGTTTCCTTCTATATTCTACAAATACCCTGCTTATAGTTATAAGTCAGTTCTTATCTTCTCTATACCTTGCTCTTGTTTAGTGTTATCACAAGCCGGATTCTTTTCCATTTTTTTTTTCCTGTTTTGAATTTGTGCAAATTTGTGAGAAAAAAGTGCACTTTTTCAATGGATATTGATTGAGATCTTGAAATTATTTCCGAGTCTAAAGAGGAAGAAGAAAAGGTAAAGAAACCCAAACCCAAGCCTTTTGTGCTTCTATAATCGTTCTTCCCCACACTATTTTCTTATATGTAAAGCAAAAACTTTTTATTACTCAAGCAAAAGGATGAACCAAGCCTTTTATCTATTTCTCGTGTATATTATATGCTTTTTATTTTTATTTTTTTGGACTCAGAAGCTGTCTCTGTTTCCCCTGCAACTAGTTCTTTTATTATTGCCGTTGAAAATCACTCGACACTTGTTTAAGATTTTAAACATTTAACATAATTTTCATCATTTAGACAAATAAATATCTAGACCCACGTAATTTAATTAATTTATTTTTTCCCATATATGACTTCCCCTTATTAATACAAAATTCCTCAAATTGAATTATAAAAACATTCCCTCGTGGATTTGGATAATCTGGATCTTGCTCTTTAAAATTGCGTCTCGTATATACCCTTTTGTGATCATTTCATTGCTGTCTAATTTGCCTCAGTTTTAAGTCATCTAAGGTGGAGGAGCAATGAGGACAGAGTCGAAGAAGATATCAAAGGTATGCGTAAGAAGACTGACTCGCCATTTTCTCATCATCTCACGGATCGTGAAATGATTATTTAATTTTTCGTTTTCGGGTTTCAGTCTTCGTGGCCCAAATTAGCCGTCAGGAAGTGGCTCAATATGAAAAGCAGTGCCGAGAAGTTTCACTCAGATTACGAAGCAACAGGTGAAACGTGATTCTTTAATTAGTGTGATTAGTTTCGTTTTGCGTTTCGATTTTCACGTTTTGGGTTGAAACTCGGACTTTGCTTCTTTTTTTTTTGTCGATGTGGGACTTAGCAACTGCGAATGAGAGGAGAAAGAGCTGTTCAGACCAGGATCGTTACGCCGTCGTTCCGGAAGATTTCTCAGGTAATTTGCGAACACTTTCTTTCACACATCTACGCCGTCAGATCAGATCAACGGCTTGTTCAATATCATTGGAAACCTTCCAGTGGGCCCCTGCCACGTGGACGGTTGATTTTCTGGGGATCATGATATTGAACTAAGCCTAACAATAATATGATTAGGTTTAAAATAGCACTTATTATTATTGCTATTACGTCATTAATACCGTATCATTTATTCTTTTGGTTGCTAAATGAGTGATGAATTTGGGTTTTGTTTTCAAAGAGGGGTGGGTGATGGATGCTACAAGTGGAATGAAACGTTCGGTACTTGGGAAGAAATCAAGTCCTGACACTGGGGCGATGGACCTTAGGTAAATACTTGCATCATACCCGTTGTTGAAATAATATGTGGCTATTGACAAGTTATGGTGAAAATTTTCTCGAGTGTTCTTGACTTTTAGATAAAATGATTAATTATTTGAGGGTGTGGTTTTTTGTGTATAGGATGTTCGTGGGGACGTGGAATGTCGGAGGGAAGTCACCGAACGAAGCCTTGAATTTGAGGAATTGGCTGACGTGTCCTTCCCCAGCTGACATATATGTTATTGGGTATGTATTTTTTGTCCATATATTTTTCTTATGGTACTAGTAGTAATCTCTGTTTTAATCCCAACAACTTTCATTAATTTCTGATCTATGACCTGTCCACGGGTTTGCCTTTATGCACAAAATAGTCGCTTTAAATATTCGACGGGTACAAGCTGCTATAATTACACTGCCATTTTCGTAACCTTAAACTATTTTGTTATTGGCCAACGGTTCTGTTCTGGCTCGCATATCCATGACTGACTCATGTGTCAGAACCAAGAAGGACGATTTCACCCTAGCCTTTTCACCCACGTGTCGCATCATGGTTTTAGAGCTCTAGGAAAAATAAAATAATTTTTGACAAATAAATTTAAATAACTAGTTTCATTAATTAGGTTATAAAATTAAAAAAAAAATTATGCTACGATATAAATTTTTTCTCATAACTGATTTTTATAAAATTCGAGATCAATTAATTTTTGTACTAATAAAATGGGTTAGTTATTTAATTAAAAAATTAATTATGCATAACACAACGCGTTATTGTTCAGACCCGTTGTGCATGCGAAATTGTCATTTTGTTGGGAAACAAGCGGCACTATTTATAGGATCCATTGACAATTGCATGAGGATAACTGATATCCGTATAGTCATATCATGCATTAAGGGTAAAATGGATAGGTAGCTAGTAGCTACTTTGCGTTTCTTTCTTTCTTTATTTTGTTTTTTAATTTTTGGACTTAGGGTCTTTGAGTTGTCTAAAAAGATTTGGAGGAATTTTCATGTATAGCATTATATTTTGATAGGTTCCAAGAAATCGTACCGCTAAACGCGGGGAACGTGCTTGGGCCTGAGGACAGTGGCCCAGCAGCGAAGTGGCTGGGCATTATCCGTCAAGCCTTGAACAGCAACAAGAGCGAGCGTGAAATGTCACAGTACTACGACAGCGATCCAGAAGGAAGCCCGAAGTGTAGGCCCAGTTTCTCGGAGATGCTCTCATTAGAGGAAGAGTTTGGAAATGGAGAAAGCTCTCCTAGGAGTGCGCAACGCTATTGCCTAGCAGCAAGCAAACAGATGGTTGGTATATTCTTATCCGTGTGGGTAAAAGAGGATCTTTGCAACCATGTTAGCAATTTGAAAGTGTCCTGCGTTGGCAGAGGCATCATGGGTTATCTTGGAAACAAGGTTCGTTCCTCCAATGGTGCAAGTGAGTTTTAGCGCACGTGGTATGATATGCTTACACTTTTATTGTTTGTTGCATGCTGATTGCTGACAGGGTTCAACGTCAATCAGCATGACATTGTACAACACCACGTTCTGCTTCGTTTGCACCCACTTGGCTTCTGGGGAGAAATTTGGTGACGAGTTGCGAAGAAACTTTGACGTATCGGAAATCTTGAAGAAAACTAAATTTTCTCACTCCTTTAAATCTCAGCTTGCTCCCGAGACCATACTGGAACACGAGTAAGTCCTTCATTAGTTTACATTTTTTTTTAACTTATAGTTCCTTCCTCTCCGTGGCATGTGTTCTGATTGTCGCTTGAATTTTTTTTGGTATGTTTATAGTAATGTTATTTGGCTTGGCGATTTGAATTACCGGCTAGCTGCTGGCTACGATGACACACATGAACTGCTAAAGAAGAATAATTGGCAAGCATTACTAGAGAAGGATCAGGTAATTATGTTTGCTAGCTATGATTTGTGTGTGTGTATATATATATATTTATTAATTATCTTTGTTGGTGTTTCAGTTTCTTACTTAATAGTACTTGGGATGTTTTTTATGGCTTGCCCTAACACAATGTTGTATTGACTCGGGTTGGCAGCTAAGGATAGAGCAGAGAGCTGGTCGAGTATTTAAAGGTTGGAATGAAGGGAACATATACTTTGCTCCTACTTACAAATACTTGACCAATTCTGATCACTATGTTGCCCAATCCTCCAAGGAAAAACGACGGACTCCTGCTTGGTAAGATAAAGATTTTCTTGTTAATCTAATGTTTGCGTTTTGTCATCCATGTAGGGAACATGGTTTGAAACATCAATTAGATCATTGTTTATTATTTCCACTTTACGTGCTTTAATTTGTTATGAAAGGGCATTACCCATTTGAACCCAAACCACATAAATTTATCATCTTCATACGCTCATGTCACTTTTAATGATGCCATTTGCAATTTTTTAGAAACTGGTGGCGTATGCTTTTGAAATGGACTCACTCGTGATGTATGATATGTTTAGCTGATTGATGATGTAACCCAAGAAGCATTTTATATTCAGCATGGCATTTTATATTTTAATGATAATGATGTAAAAACAGGTGCGATCGAATTCTCTGGAAGGGGGAAGGCCTGAATCAGATGTGGTATGTTCGAGGAGAGTCCAAATTCTCAGACCACAGGCCTGTGTACTCACTATTCTCGGTTCAAGTGAACTTGAGAAGCAAGAACATAGCACCATCCACTGGCACTATGCCAAAGTCCTGTCCCTTAAAACCGTTGACAAATGTTGCGTTGTCATCGACTTGTTCTGCTGCTAAAGTCCAGGCAGAAGAGCAACTCTTGTTGCTAACGAGAGCACAAAGTTGCATAGACACTGTACCCAGGTTTGTTTGAGTCCATAAGACACTAGGCAGACGAAGTTTCCAAGTTGATACCATTACCACCTTCAAGCAACCGCACCTCGCGGTATAGTGTGGGATTCGATGGCTAACCATGAAGAGGAAAAAATATTTTCTGGTGAGGAATTTTACGAGTGAAAAAAACTACTTAGGTATACATATCCATCTCTTTTGGGTATTCATATTCATGTCCCAAAGCAACTCCGAACTAGGTAAGAGTTTTTTTGTCGGAATTTAGGTCGGAGTTCTCACCTTGTTAAACACCTCTAGTGACTAGGATAGCTGTCAAATTGCTACGAGTCATAGCAAATTTTGAAGGAGTGGGAAATGCTAATTGATCATATTTGTAAATTTTAAATTGTAATCATAACAGTGATTGTTATTATGATAGATTATAGATGATTTTTTAATGCAATGTGCAACTTGTGTTCATATAAAATATATGACTGATTGATTGATGATTGACGATGCTTGTCACCTTGTGCCGGAGAAGCTTCGTGCAATTAATATACGTATGGTGGTTTTTTCTTTGTTGAATGTTCATGTAATGTTTTTTTTTTTTTTTTTTGGGGTAATTGCATGTGCATGTAATGTATTACCATTATATGGCAGTTGCCACTTGCCATGATATTATTATTATGGGCGTAAATAAAATGTCAAACTTGTGGTCAACCCCCCGTTGCCATGCTATTCCGTGTCTTTCAAGAGGATTGTTACACGAGCTCAAAATTGCAAAGAGGATTGTTGCGCGTGAGCCCAAAATCAAAAGAGAATTGTTGCTGACTTGCTGTCGTTGAAACTACACTAACATTATTCCAAAAGTATTTAAATTAAGATGAAAAATGTTGGCTCACAATTTTTTAACAATATCTTATTAATACCCTTTTTTTATTATTGGTTAAAATTTATAAAATTTGATGTATTTTATACTAAATCAAGAGAGATTCATTAAATGAGATTGAATGCCCATAAAATTTTTCTAATAAAATTTTATCCAATAAACAAGAGTGTTACAAAGAGCTTCACTAGATTCACTACTAGTATTTTCGAAAGATAATACACTAATTAATAAAATTTTAATAAATATGAATATAAAAATGAATTTAATTTAAATATTTTAATTAAATATAAAATATAAATACAGTTTATTATATTTATTAAAGTATTTTTTAAAAGGCTATAAGTATAATATTTCTTGTAAAGATCAAATATATTTTAAATAGAGAGATACCTTAAAACTTAAAGTTTGTATATATTGTTCTCTTTAAAGCATAATAAATAATTTCATTAAACATTAACATAAATAATTTATTTAGTTTTATTTAGTTAACGACACGCATGTTACTTATAGAACTATTTTTTTTTTCTAAACATAAAGGACTTAAAACATCTATAATTTAAGATCAAAGAATTATGCAAGTTAGTTCGGATCAAGACAAAAAATGTAAGACCGTATGCATTAATAATAATTCTGAATCCAACTGAATACCACATTCATGCTATAGAAGAAAAGATTTTCCTTGGTAAGGGTATGCATAGTGCAGATACCTTCTATCTTGCGCTCCGAGTCCTAAACGCAGCGTTTCACATTTCTATTTCAATGCAGATCAAAACCCAAACACATACCGATAGTGTTGTTGTTTTCTGCTCCCTCGTTATAGAAGCATGTCAAATTGCGTCGCTACATGTATGAGAATATTTTTCAGCTTCCAAATTCATTTTTTTATTAATTACATACATGCAATTGTTTCTTCTGAACTCGGCAACAAGTGTTGTGGTTTGTGGCTTACACTTTTTTTTTCCTTGTGGAAAGGGATATATATAGTTCTAGTTCATGAACGACGAATTTGCAGTGAAGAAGGGAATGGTACGTTTCATTTGTATTATTTGGAACTTGAGGTTCCGAGTTACATCCTGTTGAGAAGTTTGTGTATTTGTTTGTGGTGTTGAAACTTGTGATGTTTGATTTTGGAGGGGGTCAAGGCTTTTAAATGCGATAAGCATGATTGGGAAAAATGAACTATTCCACTTTACTAAGGGTGTGACTATCCATGCTAATCATAGTTTATTCTATCTATTGCATAGATATGATTCCTTCTCGTCCTCTCCTATGAACCAACAGTAAAATTCTTTTACCAGGGCATCTTTTTGGGGGCGTTGCTGTGATAATCTTTCCAGTTTCCAGAATCAGGCATTTTGGCTAGCAAAAAATCCTAAATGTGTGAATCGTAGGGACCTTACGACGTATTAGAACTCTTCTAGATTTGATCCAAGCATCCTCATCTTTTTCTCATGGAAAGCTCTGTATTGTAGTGCATCTGTTTCCCAATATGATACAGGCAGTTGAGGTTTCAAACAAGAATTTCTTGACAGGAAATCCCAGCACCAACACTTCTTGGGGAAATTCTTCATGTTTCAGTTCACTGGTCATTTTATTGAACAATTACTTGACCCAGATCCTGCAACAAGGACTGCGAATTCTGAAAGCCGAAATTTCGTTTGTAAGTGCAGTTGATACATTTAGTGTGGATAATGTATCCTTTGAGAGTGATTCTTTATTTGGTTTACCCATAGCCACTAGGACAGAAGATCCTATATCAGATTTAATCATGTTGGAATTAGAAAAGTTAAAGCTAGTGAACTATTAGAATCTGAGAATGTCATGTCTGTTCATACAAACAATTGCTGTGAGAGTGAGATCATAGTTAACAACACTGTCAAACTCTCACGCTTGCTTACAAGGGGATGCTGATATAATATTGATAATTTGATGGCCAATGCTTACGGCAGAACAGATAATAATTTTATTTCAGTTTGTCAATTTTATAACATGGGAGATGACAAATAATCTATAGGTGAAAGCTACAGATAGATCTGTGAGCTATTGCCCTAGCCTACAAGAAAGCAGATGGCAATTCTGTGTCAAGAGATCATATGATGAGGGGGAAGATAGCACCATATTAATGGGTCAAAACTACCAACAAGAGTAGGAAAGTAACATGCCATTGGTTGCTCATTCTACTGCAAAAGGAAAGAGCATTATGGTATCCTTTGGAGGCTTTGATGATGAGGATGATACAACTCTCACTGGAAAATTCATTTCCAGTGTCTAAGAAGGCTCCTTCAAACACATTTCCTTTAAATGCAAGAAGTTTGCTGCTCACTGGTATTCTGGATGAAATTCCTGTAAAGTATAAGACTTGGTCGTGGCAGGTAAATTTAGTATCCATGAATTGATCTTGCACAGTAGCTAAACCTCAATTACTTGTCTTGTTCCTATGCTTGCTAGAAGGAACTTTGAGGTGTCATAAAGGTTCCGGATATTTATGTAGCTGTCAGTCATGAAATTTTTAGAAGGTAAGCCTGTTAAAACCTGATTCCGGATGCAGAATTCTTTTTGAGCTAAACTGCTGTTTCTGATTAATCTTACGTATCTCTACTTCTCTATTCAGTGAGATGGTGGGATTCTAGCCAAGCGCATAGACACACATTATCAACTTTCATATCTTTGTTGTTTGTCTTTATGGAAAATCCTGAGTATAGTTAACAGTTTCTTCCTTCTCACATTGGAAGATGCTTGTTTGTAATCGTTTGGTGTGTGCTGACTGACTATCAAAAGTAACTTAAGTGTTTAAATATTTCCATAACTGTGGACAAGTCATCCTTGTTGAGAATAAAAGGGAACTCATGAAACAAAATTGAACATAGGTATCTGTAATTGGGTGTGCAATGATTGTAAGTAGTCAATAAATTTCATAGAGGGTAGTTGATTGTGATACCATGGTTGGGATTCCCGTGCATGTTCTTAGTCTTGTATACAATGGAGTTTATTGCACATTTGTACAATTTGAAAGATAAAGGATTTTAGTCTATCTTCTATCTGCGTTATCTTTTGAGGGACTGTTTTCCTCATAAGGTAGAAAGTGTTTTCATCTAATCATGTTTCATAGTATTATATATGCCTGCTGGGCCATTTACTGTTTTTGTTATATTGGATGCACTTGCTAATTCGATGGTGTCATTTGAAGTTAACTGGTATATTGAGTTGATTAGAATATATCTCCAACCTCGGAAATATCTAGCTATTGTGAATTAATAATTGATATCGAGCTCTGCATCGTATTCAAAGTTGCATCGTCTTCTTTTGTTAGGATTTTCTTGCCTTATATTAAAACTTTCCTTTTCACATACCAGAGTGTTATATTAAAAACCTCTACTACAACATAATTGAAGGATCAAGCAACTAGGAACCTATATAGTTGCTGTTGTTAAATACACATTTGGACGGTTCATTGAAGGTGAAGTATTCCTGATTGCCGAAATTTAGATTGAATTTGGTATGTTTCCTCATACTTGTTCATCTCGTTCTATGTTTCCTGCGCCTAAGTTATTGATAGTAACGACCTGGTAATTAGAATGCTCATCTTTGCCGTTGCTCTCATCTATTGTTTGCTTCGCTGGCAATACAGGCTCTTTAGTATCTGTACTTGATGACTCGTAGTCATTACTTTTACCCCAAATCACAAGATACAGCCCTAAAATAATTACAATAGCTCCGATTGCCCTGTAAAATTTGTCAGATTTTTAGTTTATTTTCATAAAACTTTTTTGAGAAATTAGTAGATAGTCTGAGATTGATTGTTATGATCCTTACTAATCTCCACATGACTCATACTTGAATATTATAAAATCTTTCTCGAAATTTAAAGGACTTGAGTATGTGTCACGTAGAGAATGTAAGCATTATAAATATGTGCCGGTGTTGAACTATCTAATAATTTATGTTTACATGAGTTTTGGTTTGAACTCGATTTTCAATTACCTCCCAAGGTACATTACTTCAGCCAGAAAGAAGGAGCCCATGACAGCCACAATGACCATGCAGAGAGGGTTAAAAGTTGTTACAAAGACCGGGCCTCTATCTTTCATCACTGCTCCTTGGATGTAATAAGCCATTCCTGAGCAAACTATGCCCTACATGATAAAATTTTGAAAATTTATTGAGGAAAAAATAATTAAAAATAATTATTGTATGAATTTCTTCTAACAGCATAAGTAGTTTATTTACAAAAGGCTTTCTTATTATTTAAAGTATAATTAAATTTGATACGTCGTACCGAAAGGTTCTTCTGTGATGACACATCTAAATTCACTTTTAAAGCTAGTATGACCATGTGAGCAGTTAATATATGATTTATGAATGGCAATGCTGATCTGGTGAATCCTCTATGAGGACCTACCTGATGAATTCATCTTTTTTGTTTTAAGTTTTTGTTCAATGCCTTTGAATGTCATGGTTTGTCTTAGTGACTTTCTTGGATTCTCTTAAACTCTGGTTGATGTTTTTTTTTTCTTCTCTCTGGTTAAGATGGTGGTTGTGTTTAGTATAAAAGTAAAGAACCTACACTGTAGACAGCAGCCAGCAATTTTGTATCCCATTGCAAAGACCAAGCTGAAAGATTTTTCCTTTCCATAATCAGGGCAACTATGCCACCTTCAGCTGTTCCCAATAGGCATATCCATGCTGTAAGAGAGAGCTCAGCAGGGTAGGCTTCAATGGTAATAGCCTAGAGCAAAAGATGAAACTGTATTAGGGACCCCATAAAATCAAAAGAAAAAATGTCATTGGGATCCCGATCTATATTATTTTATCAATAGCGATAGATAATAACTCACTTGGAGAATCATGAAACATGCACAACTAAAGCAGCCAATTGTGATCATTATTGATCCCTTTATTGCATGTTGAAGATTTACCCCACCATTTTGCTGGTTGTGGGAATTGCTTCCGTTTGTTCCAAAAAGGTCAAGTACTGGGCCCTTTATCAGTGTCATGACCATGGCACCTGCAACAGTGGCTAAAGTCCCCACCACCTTTGCTTGACTGCGTGCACTTTTTAGTTTTACCTTCTCAAGCCTGGGATTATCACTTAAATTTCAGATAGATTTCTTAAAAGCGTAGACTTTGCTACTTCATATAACGTGTTTTGAGTTTTACAGAAAAATATTGAAGTAGATCCTAATGCATCAGTTACATACATATCTGGATTTGCAGATTTCAGTATTAATTGGGCTATTTCAATTTTTTCTTATTCCAGCAAACTAATTAGCTAAGTTTATTGGAAAATAAGTCAGCTCTATGCCTAACTCTTAAGGTTTACAATAAGTAGAGAAAATAAGTTAACTCTTTCTCAAACTCTTTTCTAGATAAATTCAGGTTGATTCATATAAACTCTAATAAACTTTTCAAGAAGATAGTGTTTTATTATAATTCAAACGATTTGAAGAAACTAACTTTGTTTTGAAATATATTCCTTTGGAACTTATGTTTCTTGTAAATTATACTACTTTCATTCTTATTTATAATTAGTACAGTTAGTTGTTCCTTTATATAAAACTTAATTTATAATATTTGATGTATTAATTATTTTTAGACTAAGATATTCCGAATTAAAATATGTTCTCTTAATTTGATATAATACAATAATTATATATTATTTTAAAAATATGCATTTAATTAGTTATGATAATAAGTAATATTAATTATGAGAGAGAAGTAATATAGAATATGCGTTGTAATTGTTAATTGATTAAGAGAGATGTGAGTATTAATTAAAAAAGAAAAGTATACAATATTATTTTTGGAAGAAAAATATAAAAGTAAAATAAATTTATTATTATCAATCAAATTAACTATTTTTTTTTTGTAATCATTTGAGTCTTATATATAGGAAGGGAGGTAATATATAATTTGCTCATTTATGTAGCTTAATCTTATTTAATACTATAATTCACTTATAACAATTTATTATTGTAGTTTACTTCTTTGCTTTTTAATGGAGTTAGAATGTTAGAATTGTCATTGTGTTAATAATATTATGTTATACATATTGTTATTAATGGATTTTTTAATATTAATTTTATAATAAGTAAACTTTTAATAAAGTTTACAAGTTGAGTCTACAAGTCAAGTTTACATAAACTCCAATGGTTACGTAAACTCTAGAGTTTATTTTTTTTTTAATTATGTTTTCGCTTCAAATATTAGCGAGACACGGAAGTTATAATTAATAGTTTCTTTCTTCTCTTCTTTCTTGTTATTAAAATAAATAAAAAACTTATACAGCCTTGTGCGAATATAATTTCTCATGTCTTTTTATATATAGCTTTGATATCCTTTTAATTTATTGAACGGCATGGGAATATTACCTAAGAATCCAAGCCATGAGAAAGGTAATGGCAGGGAGGACATTGTACATGGAAACGGCAAAGGTTGCTGTGGTGTACTTCATTCCCAAAAAATATAAATTTTGGTCAATAACTGGCCTGCCATAACAAAGCAACATCAGGGTTAAGTAAGTGCATCATTAATCGTATAAATATTGCATGACTAGGACCTAGGAGAAAGTGTCTAGGCATGCAGGAAATTACTCTAGCAGGCTGAGAACCATTATCTTCATGAAGATTGAAAATGTCATCTTAGGCCTTTCTTTCCTGTTAAAAACATGTAGCATTACTTCAGTAACATGTTCACACAATTACACACGCACACACACATCGAGGGGGAGAGAAATATACTTCTCCAAAACCACTGCAAAAGGGGCCATGACAACAAAGGCAAAAACATGTCGATACACGACAAATACATAGTTACTCATTCCCTTGTTCAGTGCAGCTTTGGATAGAACATCCATACCAGCATATCCAAACTGTAAGAACACTACACCTATGAATGGCTTCAATCTGTTAAACAACTTTTGTTTGTAACCGGCCATCTTGTTTCAGCTCGGAACTAACCTATTTCTTGAGCCACAAGAATTAAGATAGCACACCATGCACCATAGAAGGCACGTGTTTATATAGGAGTTGGGGTAGTGCTTAGAAAATCAGTATTATACATACATTATATTTATACCTACAAATATAGGAGCTCTGCTGTTTCACGTAACCAAGTGGGGGAGTCACAGTAATCAAGCGAACTCGATCCTCAGAATTCTTTAAAATGTCGGTATCTGCTTTGAATTATTACTATCTTTTGCATAGTTGGAATGCTACTCATCACGGGGTACCTTTTATAATATCGTTCACTTGTTTCTCCTTTATTGTTTCTTTCGTGATTCGTTTATTTTACTTGATTTTTACGTGTACTATATATATTTGTGAAGATTTTTCTCCAGACAAGTTTTCTCTGTACTTTGTCATAAGATGGGGAAAAGTAATGCCCCAATATCTGATTTCAGATGAAGTGGGTGCTTGTTCACTTTTGAAGAATGAATGGAGCTATGTGACAGCTCCAATTGGACATAGAATTCCTGTATTGGAATGATAAATATCCTTTTTATTTTCTTATTTCTGCAAATTTCGGATGTTTCTTTCCTCTTAGGAGTTAATGGAAGAGGATGAAATGGCCTAAAGTTATGGATAAAAAGGGTTGTGAATTATTCAGGTGCATTATTGAATTTAGTCCAATGAGTCAATAGTCGAGGGCGACGTATGAAGGATGATTAGCAAAAGCATAAATAATGATCAATAATCATATCCTCTGATTTAATTTTGTTGCTTTGGTCGTAGGTCAAAACTTCAACGTATGGTAAGCACTGAGGTCCACTTCGTAGCTGGTGGCTTTAAGGCTTTTTAAGCACGGTTGTTTCTTTGTGCTTTAAATCTTTTATTAGCATGAAATTTGGATACTGCACCTCCTTTCTGGTCTCTGCTATGGTACCCACTCACAGTTTATTTTTTATATATATACAAGTGGGTCTGTGCACCCACTCATTGTTTAAAACAATTGCTGTTACGTTTCTCCTTTGTTCCTTGAAGAGATTTAAAATGGAACACAAGAACGGTTTTCTTTCGTTCTTGATGTCTGTATATACATGATATTTATACATAACACTGAATATTTAAGAGAAATTCAAAGTTCCAAGCTATCCTATACCTCAGATAAGAGGACAATGAGGTGAAATAATAGCTATTTGTATCATGCACAATGTTTATTACATTAACTTTTTCAACAATGAATAATGATATTTAAACATCTTTTAATTATAAATGGTATTAATGTCTATCATTTATTTTCATCTTTTTATTATCGTTTTATATCACTTATTATACTTATATTCTTTTCTCACTTTTCTATTTATAAAATAGCATATAGGGTCCACAAACTACTTTTTAACCTTTTTAAGGTTATCATGTTATTAGCGAAAAACATTTATCAGTTTTATTGATAATTAAATTCTACCAGAAATTTTGATTAACTAAATTTAGTAGGATTTTAGTCAATTATTTTTTTCTATCTATAATGTTTGAACTTGATACATTACTTAAGAAATTTGTTAATTTATGATATTTATTTTGATAAAAGAGGTTAAAAATAGTGCTCAACTCAATGATGTTTATGGCACTTTTAGAAATTTAAAATTAACAAGCTAAAAAATCGTAATTAAATATTTAAAACTCCTTCATTAACTTGATTAATATAAGAGGAAATAGAATTTTCTATTGTAAAAGTTGAAAATGAATTTTATATTTTTAGTTCTAATATAATCTTATAACATAGATCCAAAATGTGGAAATCAAAAAGTTAACATATATTACTAAAAGAAATGTTAGTAACACACTTTCTACTCTTAAAAATGCATACACATTTTTATTAGTTAAAATTTATTTAAAAAATATAACAATCATGCTCCCAAAAATCTTAAAAGAGATTTTTAGAATAGAAAGCTTATAAAAGCTATGAGAGAAATGCTTAGCATACATTTTCTTACTCTTCACTCCCACTCAGTTTTTCTTCTTATTTCTCTCTTCAATTTTTATCACATCATTTGACATATTTTCTTTCTTTCTTTAAATTTTTTTTGGGTCTATTTCTCCCTTCTTTTCATCGATACACCTCCTTTTTCACACGTATACCACTAACATCATTCTATTTTAATACCACGAAGATATTTAAATAGAATGATTTCCATTAACCCTAGATGTGTATGCATACGTAAGGATATTTACATACAACATTTAAAACATGACAATCAATACAATACAAATTGATTCAAAAACTCAGAAAAAAGAAAAATAAAAAATATCTTCCCATCCTATGCATATGAAAAGGATAAGATTGGGGGTCGGTTCAGTCCTCCAAGGACGCCACCAATCTCAAAGAATTCATTGGCGTTTTGATGCGCTAGTCAATGGAATCTTACTCAATGCGGGTCCCGTTTCACTTTGTTTCCTGCATGGCAGAAAAGATAAATAATCAAATACTTCTGCTTTGTATGCCCTAATTTTTTTTATTTTTTTTTATTTTAACTATGATATCGTTATAAAATATTTATTATTAAAAGGAGTAATTAATCTATATTAGAGATCATGACTATACATTAGATAAATATCTTCCATCTAATATAATTTACTCTGTACTCAAAAAATTAAAATTTGAACCCTCAATAATATAATTAAAAAACACAAACTACTACTATGTGTCAACTAATGTTAGTTTGTGTAATCAATTTAATCTTGAATTATGTAAAATTCTTTCTTTGTTCTTTTAACTTTATAAAATGTCATCCACTTTAGTCGTTTTTAGTAATAAGTCACAATATAAAATAAATTAAAAAAAAAAACTAAAAGAGATTCTTAAAAAATCAGTGACTTAGGTAAAATTTTCTAAAACAACGATCCACCCTCTCTCTTGTTTTATTTTTCTATATATTGCATATAATATTTATTAATTAAAAGTAATTCTGATCGAATCAAGTGAAATTATTATATACAATAAAATTATTTTTTTTGAGTAATTGTGGAAATAAGTTAAGTTAAATTTTGATAGGACTAAGCTTGACCTACAACAAAATTATTAATTTTGGGTCTCATCATTTTTCTATAAATAGGCTAATATAGACCTAAGAATTAAATATATTATTATTAATAATTACATGTTAAATATAAACTATAAATTAATGTATAATATAATATTATTTTAAATATATCCGACTTACTAAGCTTTTCTAAATGATTTAGAGTTTGGCTTTTTTAGTTAAATATTTTTTTTTCTAAAATTCTAAGTTTGATCTCTTTAATAAATATGTCATAAACTTCTTACAAGTTGTCGGTCTTATTTTTACCTAAAATTGAGTGTTTAACATAATTATATATTTAATATTTAAATTCAAAACTATTACTTAAACTATAACAACTCTTCCAAATAATTAGAAAAATAAGGAAGATTCAAATATATATATATATATAAATGAATCTCATACCTAGAACTACTACTTTAGAAGACATATATACCTTTGGTCCTTTTTAATTAGAATTTTGACTTTATGGTGTCTTTTCTTTTGTAATGATTTGAAGGAACAAAACACATATGATTGAAAAGAAAAAAAAAACATTAGTATTAATAGAAGGGCAATGAAAAACAGTGTTAATTAGCTTGAAGATCAAAACTTACGTGTTTTCAATTCAAATAAAGAAGAAAGGACAAAAAAGGAGGAAAAAGTATGCTTGGTCTTGCTTTGTATATTAAATGTAAAGAAACTCGCAAGCAACTGAAAGCACCAACTGGTTTCGTTGAATTTGGGCCACACGGAGGACCAGCGGATGCATTCATTATTTTAATTAGTTCATTTATTAATATATATTTAAAAATATTATATTTTGCATCTCCTAATTAATTTCCTATATTAAATTTATTGATGATTATTTTTATTAAAATGAATATTAAATAACATATAAAAAGTGTCATTATAAATTATAATATATATATATATATATATGACATATAATTATACATAATTTTAATATTAATTTTAAATAAAATTTAGTAACATATTTTTTATATTATTATAATTTATATTCACACTTTTAATAATATATCAATATATATTATATTTTTTATGTAGATAAAAATAATTTTTAATAATATATATTATGTGATAATTTTTATATAATGTGTTCTACGATTTCTATGTACGATAATGATTTGTTAATTTTTATTTTAAAAAGAATTGTTGCCACTCATTTAAAGTCTTGAATTCCCCACTGACCCTAAGTCCCTAACCATTACGCTTATCCTAAACCGACACATTTTCTTCCTTCTGCATGGTTTTAGTGCTTGGTTCCATATCCAATTTTGGAGTATACAACTCAAAATCAAACTCAAGGGTATTAATATGACTTTTATAATTATCTTTTTTACATTCTAACAATTTTTTTACCATAAAAATTTAAATTAAAATAAGACATAATTTTATGTAGAATCAAAATCAATTACTTACTTTCTTTTTTAGAATTTTCAAATCTTAATTAATAAGAATAAAGAGACTTAATCAATTGTATCACACTCATATATTACCCCATCAATAATTCTCATTCTTTTTTTATTTTTATTTTTCTATTACATCAAATCATTTGTCGTACCAATATTTCTATCTCTCTTTCTAGATGAAAGTTTATCATTTTATCTTATTTGGTAAATTACATAAACAAGTTTCTTTGAGAGAAAAAAACTATTGCACTGAACAATCTAAATTATGTACATCATCTCATTATTTTTAACGGCTATTTTCTCAAAATTAAGAATTGATCTCTTAAAATATTAAGATTCATTTAAGAGAATCATACATTATAAGATGTTTTTTTTTAAACATGGACCAAATATCCAACCTTAACCACATATTTTAGGGACGATGTTATCTAAATTACTCCTACTCTTCATTATATTTAACATTATTTTAACAAGAATAAATTATATATTTTATTTTAATTGTCATTTCACAATTATAATAAGATAAATATTTTTTATTATATTCTTAACCATTTGTTGTAACGTGAGAAAACAAAAAAGAATATAGTTTTTCCAATATTTTTTTATAAGACCTAAATA